AGTATAAATACTAGCTATTTAGAGTACTAGCTAGAAGGGGAATTCAAATAAAAATAAAATATTATAGGCATTAGAAATCTCAGGATATTAGGTCGGGTTATAGGAGTTTTCAGTGTATTTATCAAGGTTAGAGTCGAAAAAGTTAGACAGGATTCCAGCAGAGAAGAAAAAGCAGCTTGAAACCCAAAACTTGGGCCTTGGCAACTATAACGTGCGCGCAACGAAAATGCAGTAAATTCAAACACTAGGTTCCCTTATCGAGGGTTCTTTAAGTTTATATTTTATATATTTACCTTAAGATCTAAAGAAGTTTAAAAAAATAAGAAATTATTAAATAGAAGTATACTAGATATAGAATAAGAGTAATAGAATCAGGCTCTGTATATAAATACACAAACCTGCAGATATACTTGCTATAAGTATTACTATAGGTTACTGAGTCAGAAAGAGTATAATAGAGAAGAAGGCTACTTGCTATTCCACGGTGCTGTATATACATATATAGGGAACAAGGATAACATATTGAGAATGCAGGACGCGTCAGGCCTCCATTTGCCACTCGTAACAGGCCTGCTCCCACTGATCACGTTTAGCTGAAAGGCGAAACGGCCCCGTTCCCAACGCGAGGCTGTGCAAACCTCAATGATCACCAAAGGCACCATCATTCGTGTCCCACGTAATGCAGATCTGCCTCAGGAAACGCTTGGCTATAGACAAACGACTCTGCTTTGGCTTTGGCAAAGCTAGCGAATTTCTTCTGATCAACCAAAGTCTGCGAGTGAGCAACGCACGCCAGTTCAAAGCGTGCCATGAGTATCTGTGAAATGCGCAGTCCTGGAACAACAAAGCTTTGGTGTACACGTATGAACACGTAACCAGAGTTTAGACGACAAAATCTCAGAACCTAAGGTGGCCAACCCAGGTAGCCACGTATATCCAGAAAGGAAAACACCTAGCAGCCCAAAAACGGAGACCGTGGGAATGCGGGGACCTTCTCTGGGTAACCGTGAACGGATACAATCCGATCAACGCCTATCGATCACCATGCAAGCCGACAAGTCGCACAACAAGACTCCTGCTCAATTTCAAACCTCTACCCAATTGCATACTTGCAGGAGACTTCAACGCCGGCAATAAACTATCGGGGTCGACTGATTCGACTGGCTCGGGGTCGACTGGCTCAACTGGCTCGGGGTCGACTAGCTCAACCGGCTCGGGGTCGACTGATTCAACCGGGTCTGGGACGACTAGCTCAACGGGATCGACTAAAGCAGCTCAAGCAGCTCAAGTTGATAAAGATGTCAAAAATTTAGAAGCGGAAGACGGAAAAGAGGAGCAGACTAGGAAGGATAAAGAGGCTGAGAAGACTAGAATAGAGGAGAGGAGGAAGGAGGAAAAGGATCTGAGGCTGCTGCAGTAATGACGTATTGCGCAAATGAGATCAGGAGCTGCACGGAAGGCTCTTCTGGACGCCATTGTGGATGCCTGTTCTTATCGTGGCTTAGGATTTTGGTCGGATCAGAATACTCGAATGCCCTCCTGAAATAGGCTGAGGGGCATGCCAAAGCCAACCCGGCGGCCAGCAGTGGCCTCCGACCGACGTTCGACAACATGGCTATCTCATCATGAGAGGGGCCAATGAGGGCGATGATGGTCGGCATGACGCCAAGCAAGACCTGAGCGCTAGTCATGCTCCCCTTGAGATACTCAGAAGTGTGATCGAGGATGCGGTCAAGGAGTGGTTGAGTAAGAACGGTGAACTTGTCGCCACCGGCTAGGTAATTGATGTAGGAATGGTTTTTGGCGCCGGTCTTGTAGTTGTTGTACTCGTTGGTGCAGTTGACCTGCGTGATATTGTCGAAAATTCATCCATACTGCGGATACCAGTGTTTGAACTGTTCAGTGGACGTTGCAGCGCTAGCAAAGCCGACCTTTGCAGCCCAGACAAGGAGAAAACAGAGAAGGACGTGTGGTTTTGGGTATTGGAGGGACATGACAACGGTTGTCAGTAAGTAACTAGAGAACACAACTAAGTTTTAAGGGGGCGGCAGTTGCGACGACCGGGGCGCAGGATTGGGTTCAATGATAGACTGACGTTGAAGTGGCTTCAGAAGCTCCTGGGGGAAGTCACAGACTTCTTAAAGCCTTCAGACCAATCAGGCTGGCGCTTAAGTGTCGGTCTTTTCAGCTTCGAGTGGGCTGAGTTCTGTGAGGGTGAGTTGACTGAGCGAATAATAGCATAAACAACTTGCACCTTCATGCAAGGGCGAAATTTGACCGTCTGATTGCGTCCCCTCTGACGAGGCTGGCGGCTGCAACCTGGAGCTGAAGTTGCTGGAACAAAGCGTCGTGGTAAAAGATAGTAATCGCTCCGCCCAGGCCTGAACGCCTTATTGCTTGGCAACTGCATTTTGATCCGAAGCCCTACAACCGATTTAATAATATCAGGCTCTGGAGGAGGATCTAGTCTGAAAGGTGTTTTCTTGGATGTCAGAGACACAGATCCGCCACAAAATAGGTTGAGCTTCAACTCTGAGCTATTTAGTATCAATAATATTATAATGTGTTGCAGTCTTGTATTGAGCAGAAAGGCCTACTATCAAGCGTCGAGGAAACAATTTCATCTATAATTAGAAGCTCGCGCAATACCAAGACCAGGCAAGCCAGCAAGCAAGCTACATCACATCACAGCGCATCCACAGCTAATAATTGCCACCGGTTGGCCTAGCTGTATTGTATTTTGAGTCAAGGCCTCAACACACTCCGAAGGGTCAATTGGACAGCCCAGTGCCCGTCGCTGCACATAGTGCGTCCCAAGGATCACGGCGACGTTGTGGCCCTAGGACCAGACTGGCCCACAGAATACCGAGAGCATGCCGCGAAAATGAGCAGATATCTTCAGACAACACTGTCTCTCATTAACAATAGTAATGGACAACCTATCGATCCGCAAGGCGTGAAATAATCAGGACCTTCTGCTACGCGACCCTGGGTGAGCGCTACATTCAGGAACCAATAATCACAATTTAGGAATCGAAACACAGACACAATAAAGGGTGGACCTCAGCAAGATGCACGTTACCACAGGCTGGGCCCTCAATAAGTTCATTTAGTTAATGCAGTAGATTAATTGGTATCCATTAAATGACTAGCGTAAAATAACTTAAGACAAGTTTGATGCTTTCAACCGCCCTTTTACATACCTACAAAGAATGTAACACTATCTAGCATTGTCTCTCAGATGTCTTACCTAGAAGTGTTACACCAGGTCCAAAACGACTAGAGAATTGCTTAGGGCTATCAATACCTGATGGGTCCTGTTGGGAACCTCGCTCATTTCGTAGAGATTTTATATGCTCCGTATCTAGCTGTGTGAGAGCTGCAATAGACTTTTGCACGGTGTCATCCGTCACCTGTCCACCAAAATGTCGTGAGCGATCGGTGAGGTTGAGCCGCCTAGCTATGACGAGTTCATTGACTGTTGAAACTGAAAAGGCGTAGCTGTTGTCTGCCAGAGTGATATCTTCGAAGACGTTACTTCGCTCATTGGCTGATTCGCCAGCCTCGGACACGATCTGTATGCACTGGGTGATGCTTTCTCTGGTCTGTTGGAGGCGTGCAAGTTGTTCAGCAACGGGTTCGGAAAACGCGTCGTTTAAACGTATGGCGTCCAGTTGGCGGCTAATAAGAGCCTCGTGAGTCTGTAGACGAGCTACAAGAGACGTGATTGTGCCCCTGGCTTCGCCCAGACTGCTCTTGACGTATTTATATGCCGACGGGCGTTCGGAAAACTGCAGATGCTCCACAGAAACTGTTTCAAACTTCGCAATCTGAGCAGACAACTGAACACACATGTTGAGACCTCGCTGAGTGCTCTCCTTTTCGTCCATCATTGCCTGCCATTCAATTGCAACATCATCGACAGCCGTGGCATCCCCGGCCTGGAGGCGGTCAATCTTTTCTTGCAGGTCTTTCATGTGGGCATTCAGGTCGATTGTGGTATCGCAGATCATGTCCTTATAGTCTTCGAGGACCTCAGGTGGTACAGCAGCGATACGGCTGCGGCGATGACAATGTAAGTCTAAGTGCTGAAGAAAAAGAAGAGTATATCTTTAGAGTCACTTACAGGTTTGCATTTGCTAGAGCAATGTTGATAGTGGCCTTATGTGCAGCTAACATAGCCTTGAAGTCGTTGATATCTCCCTGAAGATATTTCTGCTGGATCCAATCCCGCAAACTCGGCCGTGATGTGTCGCTGGAATATTTCGTACATCGGGCAATGATTTTGCCGTACTCCTCGCATGCGTTACCACAGCGTTGAAGTGGACCCTCGAGGGCTTCGAAGTCGAGAGTTGGATTGCTGGCAATTGTCTCCAGGAGTGAACTCAACACCCCAGTCAGGTCGCTCAGTTCCCCCTTGAGCGCTCGGGCGTCCTTGTCCTGGCTCTTCATGCTACGGATGTTCCCATGGAGAGTCATGATAGCCTTGAGGGCGAAGCCCCCAACTGCCAAAACGCCGCTCGATATGCTGAGCGGGTCCATGATGTAGAGTACGGCAAAGCAGTGCCAATTGTGAATTTGAAAGCGGGAAGTGAGGGATCAACGCGGTATGTGGTCATGAAGGGACCTTGATGGGACTGGCGTGACACCCGCCTTAAATGTCTTCAACCGCTCTCATGGTGGGCGGTTAATGAAACGCATTATCGCCACCTGTTGGGCGGTGATTGGTCAGAGCAGAGCAGGGCCGCGATAGGGGATCCACTCGACGTCTTCAGCGGCGTATCGCCGTGATCTGTTTTTAGAAGACAGGGTGAAACCGTGAGCGTTCTATTTACAGGTGAGGCTGGCAGGCAGAAGTTCGTCTGTAGTTGATATGACTTCCTACGGTGCGAATGCCAAGAGGCCCTGTCCTCCTGCAAGCTCCCTTTGCGCAACGCGAGGCCAAGATAATCCCTCGCGTCGCCGTCGCCGCCCGTGGCGCAACGAGCCAATAGGAAATAGGTAAAAGTCATCACTTTTGCGCGCGCCTACGTCAGAGGCCACCAAGTAGCGCCTCCTAAGTTGGCCACCTCCCCAGCCAGATCTGCGAGTGATGTATAGTCGCCTCTCCAGCAGCGATCCGTTATTCTATCCGATTCCACATCAGATAAATCGGGGAACTTCATCAGGGTCAAGAGTCTGACGGCTGCATTCCCCTCAATATCCTCGTAGAGCTCGAAGCCTCGAGTCAGGTCGTATAGAATTGGCCCAAAGGTGAATTGCTCGCTGGTGGCCCCATACGTCCCGAATGTTCCTCGTTGAGGACCAGCCTCGGCGCCTTGTATGCGAGCCCAGGCCGGCGCATTGCCCAGATTTCTTGACCCAATTAGGGTGTAAAATACCCATGGGTTTCCCACTATGGGCTACCCATGGGTACTCAAAATGTTAGCTTGGGTACCCAAATTTTAGTGTGGATACCCGTGGGTAAATTTTCTTAGAGCCTGATCGGCCAGAGGATTATGATAATTGTTGGATCCGTTACGGTCAATTCGATCAAATGGATAGGGATCAATGCAGTGATGATGATGTTGATGCTTGCTTGTTCCGGTCATCCGGATCGGCCGGAAGAGGGGTTATCAGACCCCCCTTCTGACTGAGGTCAGGATATCAATCTATCAGAGGTTTCGTTATACAGGGTCACAATCCAACAATAATCTGAAATAAGGGTGGATAGGGTCCATAAATATATCCGACTTGCACAGTGAGGCCGATGTACCGTACTAGTCCCTATCAGTAGGTTGTACAAAGAGGGGTTGATAAGGTTCTCACCGCCTTCCTATTCCGACTGTACCACCTTGAGGCGAGGCTGTAACGGAAGAGGTAGTAGTCTCGGCCCCAGCTATAACCTCATCATCTCTATTACCGTCAGCTAGGATATCTTCCAACGACAGCAGCGCCGCCAATCTACTTATATATATATTATATACCAATGCTAATATCCCCGTATATCCCTTTGAGTGTCGTAAGCCTCCACCTCCGTACCTAGCCCCACAGAGCCCTTCAAGATGTTGATTGACCCAGAGGAACCTGTGGCAATAGCAATTACGGTCGGGTTTGGCACTATTCAGTGTAGATCTTCATACCGCCCTAACGTGGACTAGACTTCTGCTGCCACCAAATTTGGGTGACTGCTTAAGTACCTCTTAGATGCCTTTCGTTAATTGGCTGGAGTTCTATATACGGTATGGAAGTGGAGGCTTACGATACTTAAAGGGATACAGTATATATAGCAAGCTTAATTGCTATTATATTGCCTGCTTTATTACTAGCTTCTAGCTGTATAACCTAAGTAATAAGCTTTAATATTAAATTATAGTTTATAGTATTATAGTAAATATATAAAATTAATTAGTAGGTAGATATAACTTTAAGCTTTTTTAAATTCCTCTAAGAAATCTATAATAAGAGTTAGTTAAAGTTAGAAAAAAAAACCTACTTAAAAAGAATTATAAATTATATTATTTTATAATTAAAAAGTATATATTTATAAATTTTATTTAAATATAATAAAATAATTTTATATTATAAAATACTTTATCCCTCGATAAGGAAACCTAGTATTTAAATTTACTGCATTTTCATTGCGCGCACGTTACAGTTACCAAGGCTCAAGTTTTAGGTTTCAAGCTGCTTTTTTCTTCTCTGCCGGAATCCTATCTAACTTTTTCAACTCTAACCTTAATAATTGCACTGAAAACTCCCACGACCCGACCTAACGCCCCGAGATCCCCAACGCCCATGATGTCCCAAGTCATTCGAATCCCCCCTCCCCAGCACCCTAGGTAGCTAGCATCCGTACCAGCCCGACGCAGCATAATAACTCCCGGAACTAGGGGTTGTATTTTTCACAGCTAATTTCTACGAGGAACTTTTGGCCCCTATTGTTATCGGTATTTTTAATATCATCAGCCAGGTTATATAATACGCCCATTTCTATCCGGATGAATATAATGTCGATACCGGTAGCCTGACTTCCCTGCAGATTGGCTCTGTTCCTATCGTCAAGAAATAGACTGCATCTAAAAATAGCTAACGTAATTCTTTAGTTTCTATCTAGGTATTCTAGGTGGTGTAGTAAGAGGTCTAGGAGGTTTCTTTTTCTAAGGAATTTTAGATAGTTATCTAGCTTATATCTTTCTCTTTTGTCTTAAAGATTTTAATAGAATTCTATATTATGCTGGAATCTAGATTTATATTTCTAATATATAGGGATATATATAATAAGGGCCTTATAATTAATAGCAGTTAATATAGTAATAAGTTATTTAGATGAAATTTATTAAGATAGAATAAGTATTAGAAGGGAAGTTAGTTTTTTAATAATAGAAGATGTTTCTTTTATATTTTATTACTTAAAATAAGATTACTATCTTAAGATTATTAATTATAGATAGTAAGATTATTAATTATAAATAGTAAGATTATTAATTATAGATAATAAAGTTAAAGTTAAAGAGATTAAATAGAAGCTTTAAGTAGAGATTAGTAGGTAATAATCTTATTATTTAGTTACTATTTCTTCTGGTACTGGATATAGCTCTTATTATTTATTCCTATTATTTAAGATTACTATATAGCTTTAATTTATTTAATAATATTAAGTAAAGCTAAAAAAACTAAATAAAATACTTTATATTAAATATTAAATATATTTATAAATAATTTATTATATAATATTAAAAACTAGCTTTTTAAGAAATTTTTATATAAAAAGTATTATAAATTATTTATTTAAATTTAAAAAAAAAGAATTTTCTTTTATAAAAGTCTTTATATAGTTTTTATAATAATTTTTTAAAAGTTTTTAAGAAATTTTTAAGAAATTATTAAAAAATCTTTAAAAGGTTTTTTTATTAATTATTTAATAACTTTTTATATTTTTAGAAATTATATTACTAGTTATTTAATAACTCTTTATATTTTTAGGGATTATTTTACTAATTACTTAGAGGATTTTTTATACTTTTTTAATAGATTTTAATAGCTAAGTTTTTAATTTAATTTTAACTTTAATATAGCTATAGCTATATTTTTAAACTTTAGCTTATAATTTTATTCTTTTTATTTTTAAGTAATTTAATATTTCTTAATTAATTTATTATTTTTTATAATTAAATTATATTATTATTTAAATTAATTTAGGATTTTAATATTTTAAAAGTTAGTTACTAGCTATTATATTAAAATAATATAACTAGCTTATTTTATAAATACTTCTTTTTAATAATTTCTTTTTTACTTTTTTAATTTTATATATAATATCTTTTTAACTTTTTATTCTAGCTTATTTAACTTTTATATTATATAATAGCCAGTTATAATAATATATACCTAAATAATTATACTATAAATAAAAAATTAAGCTTTAATTATAATTATAATAATTAAGTAAATATACTAGCTATCTTATAGAGTTTATAAAAAACTAAGCTATAATATATTACTCTTTTTTTATAATTATATTTTAAAGCTTATAAAAGTTTTTTAAAAGATATTTTATCTAGGTATTTATAATAAGAATAATAAGACTTTATTATAGCTATAGCTATTTTAACTTTTAGTATAAACTCTATATATACTTTATATATTTAGTTTTTTTTATAATCTTACTTAATATTATTAAATAAATTAAAGCTATATAGTAATTTTAAATAGTAGAAATAAATAATAAAAGCTATACTTAATATTAAAAAAAATAGTAGCTAAATAATAAAATTATTACCTATTAATTTTTACTTAAAGCTTTTATTTAACCTCTTTAACTTTAATTTTATTATTTATAATTAATAATCTTATTATTTATAATTAACAATCTTATTATTTATAATTAACAATCTTATTATTTATAATTAACAATCTTATTATTTATAATTAATAATTTTATTATTTATAATTAACAATCTTATTATTTATAATTAATAATCTTATTATTTATAATTAATAACTTTAAAATAGTAATTTTATTTTAAGTAAAAAAATATAAAAGAAATTAATATCTCCTATTATTAAAAAGCTAACTTTTCTTTTAATACTTATCTCTTATTTTATAATACCTAATTTTAAATATAATAAATTTTATTTAAAAAGCTTTTATATT